GTCAGGTTTACCGGAGCCGCCCTGTGAGTGCCGAGCCCGGGCGTGTGCGGACATGGAGTTAAGGAGAATGGACCCGGCTTAGGGTGGACAGGGAGTTTAGGCGCGAGAGGGCAACCGTCGTGTGGACGAGGTTGCTGTCGTGCGACGTTGAAGTCAAAATGTGCTGGCTCCAGTCAGGGTGTCAAGGGTAGCCTTACCGTGACTGTATCACAATGGGCGCCAAGCAAGGCGAGCGAAGGACCCCGGATGTGCATGTGGAGCAAGTACGTACATACATGTAGGACTTACTATACATGGCAGGCAAGAAAAAAGAGGCGTCGTGGCCCCCAAATCGAGGCGACGTCGTGGGCAACACGATGAGGGAGGGGAGGGGAGGGGAGGGGAGGGGGGTGGAGGTCGGAGCAGGGTCAATTCTGATCGACCCAGGCTGTCGGAGTCGAGGCTGTCGGTGAGTGGATGTACAGTGGACAGCAAGTACGTGTGCAGCCTTTGTAGTGAATCATATTGCAGCCGACAAGCGCGTGAACTAGGCAAACCCCAACCCTCTGAAACCTCGCAGACCCAAGTAGACTCGTGTGCTGTGCCGTTGACAAGTCTCGGACGCTGCTGCATGGTGAGGTCGAGCAACAACCTAGGAGCAAAAGAGCATGGCGCCATGTTCGGAGGATTCCCAGCACGACAATCAGAGGGCCAGGGGCATGCGTCGAGCAAGGCTAAAAAAGGCGGTGGCTGTCTCAGGCGCTTCCATGTGCTAGACGGCTAAACCCTGTCCTCGCGTGGAAATCTGCAGGCCAGCCTTAGATATCCACACCGCCATGGCCGCTTGGGCCACGGCCCACACTGGCTGCGTCGAAACAGCCGTTATACTTTGACACCTCTGGCTTGCGGTTGCCCCGGCCAGCACAAGCAAAGCATCGCACGACGGGCTGCGACGGCTGGCTGACTGGCTGGCTGCTTTGTTGGTTTGCTGGCTGGCTGGCTGGCTGGCTGGCTAGCTAGCTAGCTACATAGTAGCTAACAGGCTGGCGGCTGGCACGAGGCTAGGGGTGGGGGGCCCACCAGGCGAGGTGGCAGTGGCAGTGGCAGCATGGGCAAAAGGCAGGCAAGGCAAGGCAAGGCATAGCATGGCCATGGGCATCTATGATGTACGTACGTACAGACGCAGTTTAGAGCACGATACGTGTGAAAAGCGTCCATGTACGTATGTACAAAGCGTGTCCAGCGCACACGAGGTGCGGGCGACGGGGGGAGGGGGGTCAGCTGACGGTGGGGGTTTTTTGCAAAAAAACGGGAGCAGATGCCAGGGCTGATTTGATGGCGGCGGAGGGGCAATGACGGATTGTACCATGTAGATACATCCAGCTAATAGGCGTCTAGAGTAAGTCAGGACAAAGTAAGAGATGGGCATGGGCAAAAGGGCAGGCAGGCTGAGAGGGAGCAGGGATGTGGGTGCGATGGGTAGCTGGGGCAGCAAATGAAGGCGGCGCTCGGAGGGAGCCAGGCCGCGATCTGAGGGACACGAAACGCGCTGCGTCGTCGTCGTCGGCCAGTCGAGCGGCGCGACTCGTGCGTTTGCAGTTGGAGTGCTGACGGCAACCGGGATCGTCGTCGTGTAAGTAGAGTAGTATGTATGGAGCAGCGTGCATGGCATCGCGACTGACTGACTGATGCGTGAGTGAGCGACGCAGGTCTGATGCGCGTCGCCGCGTGACCGGCCGGCGTGCAGTGTCTTGGAGGGCTCGAGGGCGGGTTGTCGCGGGCTCTACAGGCTCTCGAGGAGCGTACAGGCCAGTACAGGCCCATACACCGCCCTTTTTGGGGGGGGTGGGAGGAGTTGGTGGCGGGCCGGTTGCAGCAGCGCACAAGATGCGTCGTCGTATAGTGTGATGGCACAGTCAGTGGGTGGTGGGTGGTGGGATGTGTGTGTACACATGTACAGGACAATACAGTAGAGGACAGGGCGGGCATGCAGTGCCAATGATCTCATCACTGGAGGTCAAGCGCAGCCTGACCCATTGCCCATTGCCCATTGCCCACTGCCCACGCCCGTGCCCGCCCGGCTGCGCACTGTGGTCTGAGCTGGGCTTCGAGAAATTCTTCGGCGTCTCTGCTGACTCGCCGGGCGCCGCCGCGGCCAGTCTGGCCGGGCTCTCTGGCTGGCGCTGGTGCCCCTGAGGCGCGGGCTGGGCATGGTGGTGGTGGTAGTGGTGGTGTTTGTCGCGGGCTGGAGGTTGCTGGGCGTGTGGGCAGCAGCCGGCACCGTGTCCCATTTGTCGGCCGGGGCTGCGGACAGGTTACCGGTTTCCGTTTACGGCATGTGAACGGCCAGGTGCGGCGCCGGCATGTCGTTCCCATCTGGACAGGGATCCCCTGCCCGCCATGGCCTGTGCCTGTGCCCTCGCCTGTGCCTCCGCCTGTGCCTCCGCCTGCGGTGCCATCCATGTCTGCATCTGCTGCAAAATGCAAAAGTCCGCGGTGGGCAAAGCATGCGGGCCCTCGTCTAGCGCCGAGCCTTTGGGTCCCGGGGAGTCGGGCTGCGCTGGTGATCCTGTTCCTCTTACGAGCCACGTCCAACGCTCTTGTAACTCTCCCCTGGTCCGCCTTACTCGCTTCCTTCTAGCTTCGTCCAATGTCGTGGATTCCGCCCAACCCGAACCACCGCCAGCTGCTACTGCTGCTGCTTTCCCCAGCCCCAGCCCTGGCCCTCCTCCCCTTCAGGGGTTGTTGGAGTCGCCTCCAGCCCGAGCCCGATGCTTGCCTGCTTGATTGCTTGCTTGCTCCTGCGCCTGCGCCTGTCTGTGCCTACTCCTGCGGCGCACACACACTCACACGCACCGTCATCTCCACTTGCTGCTCATGTCTGTCTGTATGCTCGTCCGTCCGGTGACGCCCACAAACAAACGGCCTAGCAGTAGCAGCAGTAGTAGTAGTTACACGTACGTAGTTTGCTTGCTTGCTTGCCTGTCTGCCCGTCCGCCTGCTTGCCCGCCGCCCACTGTGCGCCCTGTCGTAGCAACCATGCCATCACGGATCCGCTCCTCATTTTACATTTGCTGGTCCTTCCGCTGTCCCTATCCGCCCACACTACGTATCCATACCCACTGCCATCACCGCTTCTTCTCCGTTTCTTCCCCGCCGCCACCATCCTTGCTCACTCCCAGCGGGCTATCCGTTTTGAGGACGCCACTTAAATCTTGCTGCTCCTTATATACCCTGTGACACTCGTCTCCTTCCAGCACGCTCCTCTTGAACCCTGGAGGTACCCATCTGTCCCAGCCCTCGCACATGTTTTATCTCTCTCCGTCTGCCACCTGTTGCTGCTGCTGCTGCCACCACCATCGCCTTTAACCCACCCCCCAGCACTCCAAACATTGGTCCACATATCCACCCTACCACCACCCAACACCCCGTCGACAAAACTTGAAATACATACGCGCCCCCGACTACTATTACCATCACCATCACCAAACTACCACTACCACCACAATGCCTCGGTATGGCGCCCCAACTGCCATGGGCAGCGCCAAAACACCTTTCCCTACTCGACAAATGGCCGTTCTTGGTGAGCCGACCTCCTTCCTCCTTGTCGTCGTCGTCGTCGACGACGTCATGTGACTCGCTAACCGACAATCATCAGCCCTGTGCCGGATATGCGAACCCATCGCCTTCATGTCGATCTTTCCTTATGCCTACTTCATGGTCGAATCCTTCATGAGTGGCCAGAGCTCAGCCCAAATCTCAATGTACACGGGCATGGTAACTTCGTCATTTGCCTTCATGGAATGCATCAGTGGCATTTTCTGGGGCCGACTCAGCGACCGGGTCGGACGGAAGAAGGTGCTGCTCGGGGGCCTCCTGGGCACGGGGCTGAGCATGCTTCTTTTCGGCTTCTCCCAGAGCCTGCCAATGGCGCTCATTGCCCGGGCTCTCGGGGGTTTGCTGAACGGGTGAGGTCATAGTGTGGTTTAGCGTCAGAGCCTCGCTAACCGAATATGCAGGAACATCGGCGTACTCCAAACCACCGTCGCAGAATTGATCACGGATGAGCGACACCAGCGTAAGTTTGCCCTAACCTTTAATTAACAACGCCGATCGGAGCTGACTCTTCCCCCCATAGCTCGCGCTTATTCCATCATGCCCTTTGTTTGGTGCCTTGGGTACGCTTTCCTCTTCGGCTTCCCCCATTTGTCCTTGGCTGACCGCTCATTTTGCAGCACCATTATTGGCGGATCCCTTGGCGGCTTGCTTGCCCGCCCTGCCGACGTAATGCCTTTTTTCAAAGCCACCATCTTCGAAACGTACCCGTTTCTTCTTCCAAACCTTGTATGCACTGGTTTTGTTATTCTCGGACTCACGGTCGGCATCCTGTTCCTTGAGGAGACTCACGAAGATCGCAAGTATGATCAAGATCGCGGTCGCGAGGCTGGCCAATGGCTGCTCCGCAAGCTCTGGAAGCGCGACGCAGAGCAAACTTTTGACGACAAGGATGCCTCGCTAGACGAAATGACATCGATGCTCAACGATCACGACCACAATGCCCAGGCATACCGCAGTACCGAGACCTCGCCCACGCTCTGCAGCACCCGCACCTCCATTTCGGAATTGCCCGATTTCTCCCTCGACAAGGAACTCGCACCCGCGCCTACGATCCGACAGGCTTTTTCCAAGCAAGTGTGCATGAATGTTGTATGCTATGGCATCCTCGCATTCCACACAATCTCGCTCGAGCAGCTCCTGCCCATTCTCATGTCCAAGAAGCTGCCCTCGGGCGACAACCAGCATCTTCCCTTCCACTTTGAGGGCGGATTCGGCTGGTCGACTCAGACTACCGGGGCCTTCCTTGCCGCCCAGGGCTTCCTTCAAATGTTTGCTCAGGTCATTGTCTTTCCCTGGCTTAGCACGAAGCTTGGCAGCCTTCGCACCTTCTGGATCACTCTTTCCTGCTACCCGATCCTCTACCTCCTGGGTCCCTACCTGGCCATTCTCCCCGAGAGCCTCCGCATTCCTGGACTCATGGTTTTGCTCATCGCCAAAGTTACCTTCCAGTCGCTCTCGTATCCCTCTCTGGCCATCATCCTCGCAAACTCATCTCCTTCGAAAAAGGTTCTCGGTACGCTCAACGGTGTTGCCATGTCTTCCGCCAGCATTGCACGCGGTTTCGGCCCTACTGTATCCGGCGCCGTTGACAGCCTGGGCACCTCGCTCCACATGTCGGGCCTCGCATGGTGGACCATTGCTGCAGTAGCCTTTCTCGGCTGGCTTCCCGGATTTGCTCTGCAGGAGGGCAACAAGCGACCCAACTTTACTTGCCAGGACGACGAGGAGGCCCTTCTAGACAACGACTCTGACGCCGATTCCATCATCACACTTACTCCGGATGAGACGGTAGACACCGTTCTCGCAAAATAGACCTCGAAAAGTTCACGACCTACACAACACGGCGCATTCGTATATATATATTTTTTTCTCCCTCTTTTTTTCGCCTTCTGGATCACAGCCCCTGCCATGGACTCGACCTTTACGCGCTGGCAGCAACCCCTTTTGCTTTCGCATTCAACCTTGGGAATAATAGACTTTTATTGGTGGGTTCGACGACGAACCCTTTGTACTCTTTTTAATCGGCGTATTATCATGGGAGCGACTTAGCGACATGACTTATTTGGGCGGCACATTTGAACAACATTTTTATTAGACGGAAAAGCTCAATTGTATTCAGAGACCAGCAATGGTTGTTGAGCAGGCGTTTGTTTCAAGAACAGAATACCCCGGCATGTATTATTTCCCCATCATCACACTGTATGTATGTTAGTTAGAATAGCTTGCTCAGGCAAATGGATGACATGAATGATTCTCAAACACTAGCAGAGTTGCTTTTTTTATTGTTAGTTCCGGACTACGTGTGCATAAGCATGGGTGGGTGTAACACTGCCAGGCCTGACTCGGACAAAGAAGTGCAGCGGTGAGTTGGCTGGAATGAAGCCGTGTGTGGGCCCCGCGCAGAGTCAGAATGATCTACGCGAGGTTCTGCGAAACAAGTCTAACAGCATAAGCATAACCGAAGGGACCGAAGGGGGCATCCCCTTGGATGTTACAGATGCTTCCTTTTTGCTTCTACACGTGCCTGAATCGGTGTGCTTCATGCGCATCGTAATACTCAGGGTCCCGAGTCAGTGACCGCCATGCTAAGAGTGAGGATCTCCGGCACAATGCTTTCCAAGACTGACGGTCACGGGGTTGAAGCAGCTAGCACCGCGTGGATTTCATACTTAGGCGAACGTCTCGGTGGTGATTGCGCCGGGGGGAGGCAGCAATTTATGGCCAAATCTCAAAACATGCCTCACCCACGTACTTTGTAGCAGTCATGGTTGCTGAGGTGTGCCGCAGTATTAGTAACCCACGTCCTGGCCCACGCAGCCTATCTACAAGGCACTGCTGGAGAGATAAGGGCCACGGCACAGCCTACTAGCCTTGCAACGAGCGACCAACAGCCATCGATTGCTTCGCGGGGGCAGGCAGAATGGCACCTGCAAGCCCACCGCGCGATTTCTTGGACACGCAATCGCATCCCACATTGATATCTTGGTCGGCCACTGTGGTGTTGATGGCATTGGTATTGGTGGTGGTGGTTGACTGACGCCTTAATGTTCAAAGTGCGGGGAGACTAGAGAGAGCTTGCCCGCCCCGTCGTCTTGAGTGAGCTCGGAGATACGCCGCCAAAGCTCTCACTAGCCGAAACCCTGACATTTCTTGCCATGCGCCCTGATGAGCGGTCTCAAGCGCTCTTTGGAGGAGTCCTCTCATGACGGCGATAGGCCCTCGCCCTCGGACTCCTCTGTGTCCACAGTGAAGCCCGCATCGCCCGCCGCGCCTTCGTCCGCGAGCTCGTTCCGCAATGTGAGCGCGTGCAACCGCTGCAGGCTCCGCAAGAACAGATGCGACCAACGCCTTCCCTCGTGCGCTTCATGCGACAAGGCCAGCGTCAAGTGCGTGGGCTACGATCCCATCACCAAGCGTGAAATTCCGCGCAGGTACGAAAATCACACACACACCCGGGCTTGAAAGCCCTCTTTCTGCATTGGCCTCGGCTCAAACGCTGACGAATGCGATAGCTATGTCTACTACCTTGAAACCCGCGTCGCATACCTCGAGACAGTATTGCAAGAGCATTCGATTACATTCCAGGAAGCAGAAGACTTCAATCCGGCCTTTGCGCCAAGCGCATCTTCCTTGTCAAAGCCCGTATCCGCTGCTGCTGCTGCTGCGCCGCCGCCTCGCAATGGCACTACCAAGCAGACACCCGCCCAGGTCAAGGAGGAGAGCGATAAATATGATCGCGAGAAGCTGACAAAGCTTGTGTCAAACATTGGAATGGTCTCGGTGCAAGGCGCAAGTGACCCGCGGTACCTGGGCTCAACCTCCGGCATATCCTTTGCAAGAGTAGT